GTCTGGGAAGGGAACGATCGTCAAAGGTATCGAGGTCGCTAGGATTGAAGATAGACGCATGAGCATGCTCTGAAACTTTCCTATAGGAAGACATGGTGAACAGTCGAAAGGGAAGAGGATCCAAGAGGAGAAATAGAAAGAAAGCTTCTTGAGACTTAGGTAAGTTATGGGAGAATGAGTAAAGAACTTGAGAAACTCATTCCATATACTTATAAGGAAAAACCTTACTATTCACCCTTGGACTTTTGGCTATTAAAGTTCCGCCTAACTCTACCAAACTCGACAAACAAGCTTGACTCGCTCGCAAGAACCACACGATTCTTACGAGCTGGGGGGCTAACTGTTGGGGTCAAAATCGGTACGACGGAATCAATAGCCAAAATTCTCCGCAAACACATAAACGCAACAGTTTTATGAATCTCGAGATATCATTTTATAAAACTCGAAAGGTCGTTTTATAAAACGATGGGATCGTTTTATAAAACTCGAGAATCGTTTTATAAAACTCGAGAGATCGTTTTATAAAACTCGAAGATCGTTTTATAAAGCTCGAGAAGCTGTTTTATAAAACTCGAAGATCGTTTTATAAAACTCGAGATATCGTTTTATAAAACTCAAAAGGTCGTTTTATAAAACTCGAGAGATCGTTTTATAAAACTCGAAGATCGTTTTATAAAACTCGAGAAGCTGTTTTATAAAACTCAAAGATCGTTTTATAAAACTCGAAGATCGTTTTATAAAATTCGAAGATAGTTATATAAAACTCGAGGAACGTTTTATAAAACTCGAAGATCGTTTTATAAAACTCGAAGATCGTTTTATAAAACTCGAGAAGCCGTTTTATAAAACTCGAAGATCGTTTTATAAAACTCGAGAAGCCGTTTATTAAACTCGAAGATAGTTTTATAAAACTCGAGGATCGTTTTATAAAACTCGAGAGATCGTTTTATAAAACTCGAGAAGCCGTTTTATAAAACTCGAAGATAGTTTTATAAAACTCGAGGATCATTTTATAAAACTCGAGAAGCCGTTTTATAAAACTTGAATATCGTTTTATAAAACTCGAGGATCGTTTTATAAAACTCGAGAATCGTTTTATAAAACTCGAGAAATCGTTTTACAAAACCGCGAAAAACCGAAACCGCCGCAGAACGCGAACTAGTCGCAACCAGTTCGCCTGCTGGCGAACTAGAAGGTTCCGGACTAGTTCGCCTGCTGGCGAACTAGACAATCCCGACTAGTTCGTCTGCTGGCGAACTAGACTCCCTCGACTAGTTCGCCTGCTGGCGAACTAAGCCAAGCCGGCTTAGTTCGCCAGCAGGAGAACTAGACAACCCTTGGCTAGTTCGCCTGCTGGCGAACTAGAGACCTCCCGGAGCCTCGATTTCCCGCATCCCCGATTCGAACTTACGACACGGTCGCTTTCTGTACCACGGCCGAAATGTCTCTCGTTTCGCCTCGATCCGACTTACCGTTCGAGTTTTACGATAAAAACCGTAAAACTTCGTTTTCTCGGAAAGAACTCGAGGAAATCGTATAAAACGGCAACGGTTAAACGAAACACCGAACAATGCCTAAACTATACGATTTATTCGAGATTTCTCGTTGAAATCATAAAAAACGCGCTTTTAATAAAAAACGCCGAGTAAGTCNGAAGGTTTGAAGAGAAATAGAAGATTTCCGCAGAAGAAAAGGAAGGATCGAGAAGAATGGAAGATTCCCGATTTAGTCAAATCTGGGCGAAATGGAAAGATCGGATAGCCAAGATGAGGAGTATATAAAGAGGAGGTCTAGGGCAGAAGCACACAGACGAAATTCAGAGCTCTCACCACCAAAACTAGCATTTAGGAATCTTTCCGTTTTTCTGTTAGCGAGCTGCGTCTCAATTAGGGTTTTCTAGTTCTTACGCTTCCGGCAATTCCTTTTGTACCAGTTCTACGCAGATTCGGAATAAGAACCTCCTTGCTTTCGATCTCTCTTATTTTCGTTTTTATTCTAAGTGTTTTACTCATCTTAATCTTTGTTGTGCGGTTCTCGCAGATAGCCGGTTCCTCTGGAAACTGAGGGTTTTTCCGAAGTTTCCTTTTTTACGATTTATTTGACAGTAGGGTGAAATCGACTCCCACAGTCTAAACTGAAAAATAATAATTTAATTTTGTGATAAAAAAATCACATATACACACCAAGGCACAAATAATATTTACAATAGTTAAATATCTCAGCATAGTTTTTTAACATTAACAAGATAATTCCAACCTCGATGACAAAATATATGTCATATCCTCAATCAGGTTAATTAATCAACTGAAAATGCATGCAAGTAGATATTGTTTCAAGATGCAAATTTTATGATATAGAAATAAATCTCATGATATTACAAATGCCAAAATTAAATAATATTGTGATGATAGATAATCAAAAGCTCATGATATTCCAAATGTCATCTAATTTATTTATTTGGAATGAAAAGGAAAACGACAATTCCACACAAATTACATTGATAATCAAATTTTTTTATTCACTTTCATTCCTTCCTTCACGACCTCTCCTAATAAACCAGTATTGCTCGGCCCTCCTGGAGGCATATTGGACTTGAGAGAGTTATCTCCAGAGGAACCACCACCAATTCTTGAGGTTTCTTGCTTTGCAGGATAAAAAATTGCAGACAATTCGTCAAATGGAGAAGGACGAGGAAGATCTTGTTGTTGTTTTTGCTGCTGCTCCTGCATCTGTCCCTTACCCATTTTTTTTTGAGGCTGAGTATTCATCCTTTTTTTTTTTTGCTATAATGATTTGAAAAAAATTATTTATTACTGCTGGTTTGTATAATTGATTTGTTTAGCTATAGGCTTTAGTCTGTTGTATTTATAAGGGGATAAATGTAAGAAATGGAAATTTTTTTAAATAATTAATTTGACTTAGTGACTTTGTTTTATAAATTATTTACCAAAACATATATATTCTCATCTATCTCTTATACATTAATTAAGAATAATTACAATATGTTAACTATGTTATGTGTCATCACTAGAATCCGTAGAAAAGTAGGTTCTGTCATCTAAACATATACTATACTTAATAAACTAACCATAAATTAATTAGTAATCTACGAAAAAAACAATTCCTTATTTTCTTACATAAATCATCAAAATTACCTAAATTCACTAAGAAAATAAATTTCAAATAAATTGTTTTTGAATAATAAAGATTTGATAACATTTGTGCATCTTCTCTTATTTTTATTTCATTTTATACTATTAAAATATATTAAACTTTAAACCATATAAAAAATTTATATTTTTTTCTTATACAATATATTTAAGTTTTTCAAATGACTATAGATTATTAAAATTGTTTAAAATCTCACATTGAAATCTTAATAATCAATGGTTTAAAAATTTTAGGTATATTGGTATGTTATGGAGGTGTACTATATGTTTTCGTGCTGAATTAATGGTAGTGAAAGCTAATGTTTTTCTCACTAGTAATGAATAGTGTAGTAGTGTAATATCAAATTTAGTAAGGCATGAAAAGCAATGAAGATGGGAAGAATATATATCTTTTGGTTTTGAAGAACTATGTGATGAAGTAAACATAGATCAACTGATAACAAAAAGAAAAACATAATTAACAAAACGAGAAAAAGTTATGAGCAGACTTCCATATAGAGAGATGAGATGAGATCAGATGAATGTGTATAATGTACTTCAGTCTGTATCTGAAGATTTATTCAAATAAGAGCTATTAATGGCCTCTATGTCTATATCTTAGTAGGTGTGAATCAATGAAGCAAGTAAAAAAACAATCATCATCGTCTGAATTCTGATGAGAGTTGATGGGCTGCTCAGGCTCATCTTTTGATGCTTCAACGACTTCTTCTTTTTTCTTCTTCCTCCTCTTCTCATCCTCTTCCACTGCTTTTCTCTTAACTCCCCTTGGCGTCAAATGAATCTTGAGAGCATGATCTACCTATTGCACAGAAACACAATAATTAAATAAAATTCAGGACCCCACAATCTTGGCAACTTGCAAACCTTATTAGAAAGAATACATACCTTTTTGCTATCGCCATTGAACTTGTCCTGAGTAGAAGACTCAATCATATTTTCATAAATTTTAATGGACCTGATTGATAGAGGTATTGATACTCAATAGCATCAAGAGGCTGCGGTTGTGTGTACTGAATGTCAGGACAATGCGGTGGATGTGAATCCAAAGGGGCAGACCAAAACACTGTGGGAGCTGATCCTGAACTGTATCAAGAGGCTGCTGTTCATGATATGAAATCTCATGAGGCTCTGTTTTATGTGGCCCAAATTTGGCTTGACAAAACAGCAGCTGATGGGATTGATGATGAATGCTAATATCAAGAGGCTGTGGCTGGTGCAGTTCTTGATACTCAATATCATGACATTGCAGTTGATGAGGATCTATAGTATCAACTGACTGTTTCAAGACACAGTTTTATAATAGATATTCAAAAGCTCAAGAATATATATTACAGATATCAATCTATTTATTTATAATGAAAAAGGTAAACCAATAATTCCACCCAAATTACATAGATACACAAATGTTTTTCTTTCCTTCATTCACGATTTCTTCTAATAATCCGGTATTGCTAGACCCACCTGAGCACATATTGGACTTGAGAGACTAATCTCCACTAGAACCACCAACAAGTCTTGAGGTTTCTTGCTTTCGCTTGCGTTGTTGTGTTTCTCTGCGCTTGTTTCTCTGCGTAGTCATCTTCACTGAGAGTGGTTAAGAGTAGTATTTAACTGTTTTCAGTTTGTATCAATGAAATCTTGATTAATCTCAAAGCGTCAATTGTGTTTAATTTTTTTATAGGAACGTTAAATACGTGTGAAAGGATATGGTCTCCTTTGTTAAAATTAAATTATGTTGTCTTTTGTTATATTCTCATCTGATTAAAGATTTTCATTTCAAATAATAATCTTGTGACAGTTGTAAAAACTACAGAACGAAACTTTTCCTTATTTTAGTTTTATTAGTTACAGTTTCTAATTATTTTGATCGATGATATAATCAGAGTTAAATGTGGAAGCACCGTAGCCTAATAGTTAAGGTTTAAAGGCTTCTACAACACGGCTGGGGTTCGAATCCTAGGCTATGATGTTTCTACACCAGGAGGGTTTAAATTCCCGGAAAAGGTGACAGGAAAATTATGCAGATTATTGAAGAAAAACTTTAAAAAGATCTTCAGCATGGTGCAAGACTTGCCGTCAGGATTGGATCTCATAGGGCGGTTGGTGGGGTCAAAATCGTTTACGACGGGATCAACGACCAAAACTTTCCGCAAAGTTAAGAATAGGTTTTAAAAAATACGAAAAAGCGTCGAGAAGAATTCTAAGGATTTTCCGAACAAAGAAATTCCGTAAACTTAACAATATCGTCATCATGGAAATTATTAGAAAATCGTATAAAACAATCCACGATTGTCCGATTGGCCAATTTAGCAAAAACGGCCGTAACGTCCAACTCCCCATAACGGCAGAGCTGTCATGGATCGTCCAGCTCGCCGAGCCGGAGAGCTGACCAAGCCAAATGGGCGAGCAGAACCGTGCAGTCCAGCTCGCCGAGCTGAAATGTCTCGTTCAGGTTGCCCGACCGGTAAGCTGACCATCCCGAGCCTTACCCTCCAAATTGCCCAGACACAAGGCATACTTCCCTCGACCCAATTGTACTCTGAACCATTATCGGAACATCTCTCGTTTCGTCTCGATCCGTCTTATCATTGGAGTTTTACGATAAAAACCGTAAAAGACTTGTTTTCTCGTAAAAACTCGAGTAAATCATATAAAACGGCAACGGTTAAACGAAACACCAGAGATTGCCAAACTATACAATTAACTCGAGATGTTTTATTAAAACGCCATCGTATCACAGAACGATCTCGTCTAAAATTGTAAAACGGCAAAGACGCAAAACGGCCTGAAATGTCCTAAAACGCGATAAAGGCCCGTACGCGACTTTAGACGAAATACAGCCCAAAGATACAATGACGGTTTATCCGTTTATGTGCAGGAAGAAGATAAATTTCAGGTTCGGAGAAGAATAGAAGTTTTCCAAGATAAAAATGGAGAATCGAGAGAAGTGGAAGATTTCCGAAAAACACGAATCAATACGGAACAGAAAGGCTAAACCGCCTAGGAGAGGAGTATACAAGCACATGGTTGAGGAAAATAGAAGGGGAAAAATTTTCAGAGCTCTCATCATACAGAAAAACATAACATTTAGGCAACTTTCCGTTTTTTTTATCAAGCTGCGTCTCAACTAGGGTTTTATTCTTAGGTTGCTAGAACTAGGGAACTCGCCCTCAGCTCTTGTAGCCAAGGCTTTCCCTCGTTATGCTGTTCTTACGCAAAATCAGAATAACTATCCGGGACCTCTGGGAAATTAGGGTTTTCCCTAAGTTCCTTAATTTACGAAAATCGACAATGTGAATTTCGGTTCCCACAGCGGTTCAGAATAATGCAGTCAGACTTGAATCCGCATAAATCAGGTAGAATTATCGGCTGTAATATCGTCTATGTAAGATTTCTCATAGTTTGTAATGCATGATTAACTAGTGTTAAAAAAAACCAGAGTTAAATAAACTAAAAATATTAAAAGCTTAAAGAGAGAGAGAAAGGTAACCATGCAGAACTTGGAAACTGAAACTCTTTACCACACAAGAGAAGAAGACTCACTCTCAACCTATTTGAAAGTCTAACATGCTGCGATATCTAACCTCAGATGGTTTGCTTTTAAATTGCTTCGTTGAACCAAGTGATTGCTTTTCACATTTTCAACAGGAACTCACACTCTGCAATTCTATGAAATTTAGAAACACACAGAGCTGAAAACGAAACCTTAATTCGAAACCACAATCTGTAAAACCACTACTATCAGACTTTCTTATCCATTGAAAGAACACTACAAAATAGCTACACAAGCCAAATGTTTGCAATATTAATACCTCGCAAGTCGCATCTCCTTCTGTTTCTCTCACTTCAAGCTATAGCAGAAACCTCGCTTTAATGTTACACCAAGAGAGAGTAAAACAAGCGAATGTCAAATCCTGTTAGGCTGATTGAGAACCAGTGTTGTCACCAGTAGTCATTGCAAGAAAAAAAGACCACTGGCACCTGCTAAGTGATGAAACCTAACGGTTGATTTTTATTCAGCTCTTTTTGGATTGAGCAACGAATGTTTGGATTTTAAATGGAGACATCTTACAACTTTAGGATTTAAATGGCTTTTCCGTATAGATTGTATACTAATTCTGAGTATATGTATCGTAAAGTTAATTTTAATTTTCCATAAAAGAAAGTGAATCCCTAACTTTGGAACTTCATGCATGTCCCAATTCCAAAGAAAAAATAATAATTTATGTTTGTTTATGCCACATATACATTCGAAATTCGTAAACAGAATTTTCTAAACTGAAAACTAACAATTTAATTTTGTGATAAAAAATCACATATACACGCGAAGGCATAATTAATGTTTATAATAGTTAAATATCTTGGCGTAGCTTTTTAACACTCACAAAAGAATTCCAACCTCGATGACAAAATAAAGGCCGCATTCTCAATTAGGTTAATTAATCAACTGAAAATGCATGAAAGTAAATATTGCTTCAAGATGCAAATTTTATGACATATAAATAAATCTCATGATATTACAAATGCCATTTTACTTTCTTGTAATGAAAAAATTAAATAATATTGTTACGATATATAATCAAAAGCTCATGATATTCCAAATGCCATCCCATTTATTTATTTAGAATGAAAAAGTAAAACGACAATTTCACCCAAATTACATTGATAATCAAATGTTTTTATTCACTTTTATTCCTTCCTTCACGACCTCTCCTAAGAAACCAGTATTGCTCGACCCTCCTGGAGGCATATTGGACTTAAGAGAGTTATCTCCAGAGGAACCACCACCCAATTCTTGAGGTTTCTTGCTATGGAGGATAAAAAATTGCAAACAATTCGTCAAATGGAGAAGGACGAGGAAGATCTTGTTCTTGTTTTTGCTGCTGCTCCTGCATCTGTCCCTTGCCATTTTGTTTTTGAGGCTGAGTATTCATCTTTTTTGTTTTTTCTATAATGATTTGAAAGACTTTATGTATTACTGCTGGTTTGTATAATTGATTTGTTTAGCTATAGGCTTTAGTCTGTTGCATTTATAAGGGGATAAAATGTGAGAAATGGAAAATGTTTTAAAGAATTAATTTGACTTAGTGACTTTGTTTTATAAATTATTTACCAAAACATAAATATTCTCATCTAGCTTTTATACATTAATTGAGAATCATTACAATATGTGAACTATGTTATGTGTCATCACTAGAATCGATAGAGAAGTAGGTTCTGTCATCTAAACATATACTATACTCTATAAACTAACCAAACATTAATTAGTAATCTACGAAAAAAACTATTCCTTATTTTCTTAAATAAAATCTTCAAAATTACCTAAATTCACTCACAAATATATGTCAAATAAATTGTTTTGAATAATAAATATTTGATAATATTTGTGCATCTTCTCTTGTTTTTATTTCATTTTATACTATTAAAATAATAAACCATATAATAAAAATTTATATTTATTCATATACATTCTATTTTAGTTTTAAACGACAATAGATTATTAAAATTGTTTAAAATCTCACATTGAACTCTTAATAATCAATTGTTTAAAAATTTACGTTTATTGGAATGTTATGGAGGTGTACTATACGTTTTGCTGCTGAATTAATGGCAGTGAAAGCTAATGTTTTTCTCACTAGTAATGAATAGTGTAGTAGTGTAATATCAAGTTTAGTAAGGCATGAAATGCAATGAAGATGGGAAGAATATATATCTTTTTGTTTTGAAGAACAGTGTGATGAAGTAAACACAGATTAACTCATAACAAACAGAAAAAAAGTTATGAGCAGACTTCCATAGAGAGAGATGAGATAAGATGAATGTGTATAATGTGTTTCAGTCCTTATCTGAAGATTTATTCAAATAAAAGCTATTAATGGCCTCTATGTCTATATCTTAGTAGGTGTGAATCAATGAAGCAAGTAAAAAAACAA